AGGCACCTGCCATAGGCTCCCGTCGCAGAAAACAGGCAGCGCTGTCCCTGTGTGGGCAGGGCAGGGCAGGGCAGGGCTCCCTGCTCTCCCACCTCTCGGCCAGGGTGCTGGCTGTGAGGCGTCCGCAGCAGGACACCACCCCACCGCGGGCTCCCACTTCAGGCAGGAATGGGGTTTGTGGTGGTGAATTTGTCAATGGCCAGAGAGGATGACTCCAGCCCCCGGGGTCGGCAAGGCCCAGGAGGTCTAAATCATCGTGGTGAGATGGTTCCTGGATTCTTGGCACTGGCCACCTCGCCTGGCCTGTGGGTGGAGCCTGCTGGGTGGAGCCTGGACAGTGGAGAGTGGACAGTCACTGAAGGCAGGATGGGGCGTGGGTGTCTGCCTCCCTCCCTGCCCGGCTCCCGACACCCCGACACGTTTCACCTCGTTACCCTTCACTCTTCCCCCCAGGGGAGCTCTGCTGGTGCCTTCACAGCTGCCCCCAGGGCCCATAAAAGCAGGCCCTTGGGAAGCACGCAGGGTGGCGGTGCGAGCTCACAAACAGGCCGCGAGAGGTCCAGCAGGGAGGTGGCGAGCCAGGCTTCAGCCCGTCTGTCCTGTTCTCAGAGGCACTGCATCCTCGCCTCCCTGTGGACCAGGTGTCCGCCTGGGGCAGCTGAGGGACAGGTAAGCCTAGCGTCACCTGCCTGGCTCTGCCTCCTTGGCTGGCCACACCCCTGCTGCCCTAGCTCTGCACCCAGTTGCCTCCCTTGCCCTCGACAGGGTCCCCCAAAGTCAGTTTCCCACCCCATCCACTGAGCCTCCCAGCAGCGAGCCCTGAAGTCACCTCGGTGGCCTCTTCTGGTCTCCTGCGCCCTGAAACTCCTTGATGCATTCAGCAGTTACTAAATGAGCAGGTGCTGCGGACACGAGTGGTGTCGAGCTGGTGTCACCCACACAAGCAAAATGACAGACTTGCTCGCCCTACAGAGGAAAGACACCACGTGCTGGGATGGCGGCCAGAGGCACCTGACCTGGTCAGGGTCTTGTGCTAAGCTTCCTCTAGGAAGGGTGTGGGTGTTAAGTGTGGGGTGGCAGAAGAAGGGGGTTCGGGCAAAGAGGCAGGTGGGGAGGCCTGAGGTGAGAAGGTGCAGGGGCTGTTGGAAGTCCTGTGTGGGGTCAGCATGTGGAGGGCAAAGGGCGGTGGTGAGGCCAGGCCAAGGAGCTTGGACAGGGCCTAGTGATGGACCTCTGGCCTTATCTGAGTGGGGGAGGGAGGCCGCTGGAGGATCTGACCGCACTTGCAGGCTGAAAAGGACCAAGGATGGAGAGAGGGAAGGTCAAGGTGATGGAGTGTCACAGACAGACTGCCGTCACTGCGCCACACCACAGGGTAAGGGCTCCCTGGGAACTGTGCAAGGGAGAACACGTGACCACCTTCACCGCTGGGTAAGGAGACTCCACCAGCAGGGAATCGGGCACTGCCGGCCTCCTGGTGCTCCCTGACACACCAAAGGAGCCACCAGGAGAGCCCAGGCAGAGACACTAGGCACAGCCAGCTGTGCTCCCAGTAAAAGTGACAGGGATTTAGGACAAGGAGAGAGAAATGCGGAATCTTACAGGAGATGCAGAAAACACAGTTGCAAACCTTGGCCCTCGTAAAATGAGGGAAATACACAAAGCGCAGGAAAACTGTGCGGCTCCACCTGGCTTCACCTCCAGTCCAGCCCCTGGAACAGCCCTTCTGTAAAGGTCAGACCCCCAGCCTGAGTCAGGACTCCTCACTCTCCAGACACTCTCCTTTGAACGCATATCGGCCTTCCCAAATAAACCTCTGTCTCTGCCGTTGTGTGGCTGGTGCTGAAGTGCTTCTCCATCGTGAATGCCAAGAACCCTGCTGGTCCTAAGCTGAGCTGTCCCCCTCTGGGAACTCCTAGGACCCTTCTCTGGAGACATCTTCTCCTGTGACAAAAGGAGGAGAAAGCCTGGGGAACTACCCAGAGCACTGGGATTCTGGAGCAGGAGGGGCCCGAGCCAGGAGCCCTCCCGGAGCCCTAGCAGGAACCAGCCCTGCTGACACCTCAATTCTGGAACCTGACCCCCAGAGCTGCGAGATAATACATTTGTGTTTTTGTGAGCCACTAAGTTGGTGGTGGTCATTTAGAAAGAGGGGAGAGAGAAAGACAGGCCTGTGGCTGGGTGGAAACAACTGATAGTAAGTCGCACGCGCTGCTGCATCTTGTGTAACTGCCTATTTGGACTCATCCTCTATTTGAGGTTTTGTTGTTTGTGTTTTTCCAGGTACTGGGGATTGAACCCAGGGGCACTCAATCCCTGTGCCACACCCCCAGCCCTTTTTATTTTGAGACAGGTTCTTGCTAAGTTGCTGAGGCTGGCTTTGAACTTTCAATCCTCCTGCCTCAGCCTCCTGAGCTGGTGGGGTGACAGGCGTGCACCACCACGCCCAGCATCACATTCTCTCTTTAAAAACCAACTTGAAGTTGTGTGTGATGGCACAACTCTGATCCCACTACTCTGACGAGATCCCACTACTCTGAAGCCTAAGGCAGGAGAATCAAAAGTTTAAGACTAGCTTGATGGGCTGGAGTTGTGGCTCAGCGGTAGAGCGCTCCCCTGGCACGTGCAAGGCCCTGGTTTGGATCCTCAGCACCACATAAAAATAAATAAAAATAAAGGTATTGATGTTTAACTACAACTAAAAAATAAATATAAAGAAAAGACTAGCTTGAGCAATTTAAAAAGACTGTGTCACAAAAAATAAACAGGGCTGAGGATGTAGCTCAGTGGTACAGTACACCCAGATTCAACCCCCTATATCATAAAAAATACATAAATTAATAATAAAATCAACTCAAATGGAGTTTTTGTCACTTATAACTGAAAAAATGTTGGTAAATCACACCTTTGGGTCCAGAAATAGTGTCCACCATACTTCCTTAGCTATACATTTCACAGCAGGAAAAAAGGTTAACTGACCAAAACGTGGTCTTTGTCCTTGGTGCGTTCTCTTTGGAGAGGTCACAGATCTCCATGACTTGTCTGTCCTGAATATTTATTTCCCAAGCCTGATGTGGAGTTTGCTGGTAGTCGGTGGTTTGCAAACTCTCTTCCTCTTTTTTGAAATGGCCATGTTCATATGTCTCTGTTCAGCTTTCTGGCAAGGTCAGAAGACCTTTGATGAAGGGGCAGAGAGCTGCATGAGTCCTTTGAGGAGAAATGATGTCCCCCCAAATGGAATCTGACCTCAGTGAACTCACACTTTTTCAGTGAGAGCACTGGTATTGCCCAGATCAAATCAGGACTGTCCAGTCAGTGTGCAGCGTCCAGCTCACCCACTCAAAGGGGGTATCCCTCTAGCCACTGCAGGAGTCCCCCATTCCCACAAGTTCCCCAAGATGGCACTTGTATTCTGACACACTCAGGCAGAGCCCAACGGAGATCAAGTATGCCACTTCTCTATAGTGTCCACTTGAGGGAATGGAAGGCTACCTTCCCTTCCTGAGTTCACACCAAGCTTGGGCACCCTGAGATCCAGCTTCTTCCCCAGTGGCCATGCCCAGCTCCTCAAGCAAACCAGGAGGAACCGGAACAGGTGCTGAAGGTCCCCAACCCTGTGGGACTGCAGTTCCCAACGCTGTTGTTCCCTTAAACTTTTCCAAGCAAGTCCACAGTCAACAGGCCATCTTTCCAGGACCAGCCTGGGGCATGCATGGGCTGACCCTGCATTACCAGCACATTGTCCTCTTTTCTCTTGAGTGGCAGAACTCTGGGTCCCCAGCATGAGTCCCACCTGGGTCTAACACCTTCAGCCCCACTGCTGACCCTTCACTTCAGCAGAGCCCCCCAGAAGCAGCACTTTGGTGCAGCCCGGTGGCTCAGGGAGTGTCTTCAGAAACCGGAGGGGCAGAGCCAACTCGCGGAGTCAGAAGCTCCACTCTGCTGGGTGCCGGAGCCAAGTTCGACAGACCCCAAGGTCAGCGAGTAGGGGTGTCCGTCTCTCCGCTCCCTTCTAGAGCTAAGGGCTTCCGCGGGAGGCAGCTCAGGTTTTTGTCTGTTTCTCTGGTGGAACAAACTGAAGGGGGCCTCCAGTTTATCGTGTTCCTGGAAAGATCCTGAACTGGGGATCCCAGGGCATCCACGTCTTTAAGACACTGGCTTTCTGGGTACACGCAAGCCGGCCTCGGGCTGCGCTCAGCACCCCGCCTCACCATCCAGAGACCCGTCCACAACTGCAGCGACCCCGGCCCTGCCACGACCCCTGGTTCTGCGGCAACTCCGGCTCTGGGGCGATCCCCGGCTGTGCGGAGACCCCGGCTCTAGGGCGACCCCCGCTCTGCAGAGACCCTGACTCTGGAGCGACCTTGGCTCTGGGGAGACCCCGGCTGTGCAGAGACCCCCCCACACACACTTTGGTGCGACCCCAGCTCTGCGGAGACCCCGACTCTGGGGCGACCCCGGCTGTGCGGAGACCCCGGATCTGGGGAGACCCCGACTCTGGGGCGACCCCCAGCTGTGTGGAGACCCCCGGCTATGCGGAGACCCCGGCTATGCGGAGACCCCGGCTCTGGGGCGACCCCGCTCTGCAGCGCCCCCCGGCTCTGGGGCGACCCCAACTCTGGTGCGACTCCGGCTGTGCGGAGACCCCCGACTCTGGTGCTGTGCAGAGACGCCGGCTCTGGGGCGACCCCGGTTCTGGGGCGACCCCGGCTCTGCGGTGCAGGGAAGGTGCGGCCGCTGGGCCAGGGACACCGGGTCAGCACCGGGCCAGCACCGCGGCCCCGGCTCCTCGCGGGGCTCCTCCTCCAGCCCTGAGGCCAGGCAACTGCTCCTGCGCGGCGGGGAGCCCCGAGCCAGGACCGCGGAAGAGCCGCGGACCAGACGGACCCCACAGGCCGCGCCGCCATCCCGTGACGCCACGGCGGGGGCGGGGCTCCGCGCCTGCGCAGACGGGCGGGGCGGGCCGGCTGACTGACAGCTCGCCGCGGAGCCTCGGAAGGACCCGGCTGCAAGCGCTCGGCGCAGTCGTCGCAGCCGCCGACCGGACGGCGCCCGCCTGCAGCCCGGTCCTCTGCCTGCCGGCCGCCCGCCACGGTGAGAGGGGCGAGGGTCGCCTGCGGGTTCGCGAGGGGGTGGCCCGGGAGTGATGGGGGAGCTGCGTGCCCGGGACGGGATCTTTGGAGACGCGGGTTCTGCTAGGGGTGACAGATGGCAGCGCGGCGGGTTGGCGGGACGAGGTGCTCCGCGGGGCGACAAGGACGTGGGTCTCCCCTGGTTGGCAAGGGTTTGGGTGTCCGCTGGGCGACAAAGGCTGGGACCTCCTCGAGGTGACAGGTCGAGGTTCGCAGAATGACAACGAGGGGGTCTCCGTGGGAGAGCAGGATGGGGGCAGGTGTGGAGGAAGGGTCCGTGGTTGCCTAGGGCGTGGGTCCTCGAGAGCCGGGGTCTCGACGGGGTTCTGGCTTGCAGGAGGCAGGGTACTAGGGCAAAGGGACTTGATGGCGAGAGGGGCTGCCCCTTGGCTGAGGTCAGCAGATGCTGTGGCTCTGCGGCTTCGGGATGGAACTGGGGTGTAGACTCCGGGGAAAACAGGAAACCCAGACTCCTGGAAGGACCTGCTGGGAGGGTGGCTAGGACCTGGGCGCAGGGCTGTGGGTCAAGTTTGTGTGAGTGGTGGGTTTGAGGGTGCAGCCTGGTGCTCCCGGGCTGGCAGGCGGGCTGGAGGAAAAGCAGTCCCTGACCCAGGGGCTGCCCCGTCAGCTCTGCCGGTGCCCCGCAGCGCTCCTCTCTGCTCCTGAGGTCCCTGAGCATAGCAGTTTATGGAGGGCACAGCGGTTTATGGAGGGCACAACAATGTGGATGTGGCTCTGGGAGCTCCTTGAGGACAGCTGGCTCAGGGAGCGGAGCCAGTGTCCAGGTGTTGGTCTTCCTGGAACTGGTGCCTGCCCCCTGGTACTGGCTTCATGTTTCCCTAGGTTGTAGGTTGACTGGACGTGGGAAGATCAAAAGGGGAAGAGGAAGAGGCTTTGTAGTGGCCAGCTCCTCTTCCTCTCTGGGTCAGTGCCGGGCATGAGTGCCAACCTGCAGATTGAGCAGGGACTCACCTCTGAGCTGGCACAGGGGAGGTGCCCACCACGGAACCCGTCCCTGAGGTGAGTCAGTGTTAGAGGCAAGCTGAGAGTGTCCAGACCCAGGCCGCCCAGGCGCCCGCCTGGCCAAGATCCAGCCCCCAGCCTGATGCTCGTGTTTCTGATTCTTCTGACCGGAGGCGGCCTCTGCCCTAGACCTGAGGCAGGATGGCCAAAATGCTTGACCCTGAGTGAAGGGGCCTAGGCGGAGTGAGTGGAGTGCCTTCCGTCGGCACCAGTGGAGGAGCCTCCTGTTCTGCAGATCTCCCCTCCAGCTGCCTGGGGTTCTATCTCCACTTTGTTCAGAAATAGCGCTGTGGACGCCTTTGAAGCGCAGGGCAGCGGGCTGTCGAGATCAGCTCGCTGAAAAAGTTGACTCGTGAGATTTTCTTTTTCCATTAGAGATGAAGGTGGCTTAGGACTCAGGCACAGGGAGTCATTGGTTGGTGATGGGCAGGTTATCTCTAGCCTCTGTGTGGCTGTCCTGGGTTTCTGGTGGTTGTCTGTCGATGGTTTGTGTCTGTCTTGCTATTGGACAATCTCACACCTCAAGGCAACAAGAAGCCACCCACGATGGGGATAGATCACTGGCCTTGGGGGTCTGCTGGAGCGTCCCACTCGTGGGGAGTCTGCAAACAGCAGATGTGCCGCTCTCTTTATGACCAGGCTTTGTACCTCCAAAGGTAGGTCATTTGATGGCAGCTCCAGGTGAAGGGGGCTTCTTTAGGCCCTAGGAAAGGTTCAGGTGGGTGAGTCATGCCGATGCCTGCCTCCTGGTTCCTCCTCCCTCCACCTCCGCCTCCTTTCACAAAAGGAAAATGATCGGTTCAAAGGAATATCAGAAGCTGTGTTAAAAACTCACCCAGCAGCAGGAAGAAACTGCACAGAGATGAGGGAAGTCCCCGCCCATAGCAGCTCTCCCTTCCAAAGCGCTCCAGAGCTCCCGATCCATCTTCTAGACGAACCTGGGACTTGGGGCTCCCATACCACTGACGGAGCTGGGGCTGGCGTGCCCAGAGCCGCTCAGCTGGTACAGGCAGAGCGCGGTGTCAATCCCAGCCGCCAAGGCTGGGAGAGGCAGCCGCCCCCAGGGGTGCAGGTGGAGCTGGTATCTGGTGGAATGGGCCTCCAGCCAGACACCCCGTCTCCCCCAAAGGCCTGGGGCAGAGCGCCCTCCCCAGCTCACCCCAAGCTGGCCAGCGCAGCTGCACTGTCAACCCAGATTTGTTTACGATGGTTGAGAAATGGAGCAGGACGTGCGCTTTGCTCAAGTGCCTGGGTTTCCAAAGGGCCCAGGTGTCTTCAGATGTGTGGGGCCAGAGCAAGGCCACTCCAGGGAAACCTGCCCTGGTGGCTTTCCTGTCCCCTCCCGGAAGACAAGGGCTGCGGGGAGGAGGTGCCGTGTTTGTTTACCCAGTGTTCTGTACGTGGCATTGTTGGGGCAGGTGGCACTTCTTTTTTTTTCCCCTTTAAGGACAAGCTGTTCTCTTGAGGAAGAGAGGCTTCCGTCCCATTTTCCAGACCTGCGTGGCACGAGGACTCCTGGGGAGGGGGCCTGACCATGCCTGGGCAGGTCAGGGTACAAAACAGCACTAAAAGTGGGGCCACCTGGGGCCACACGGGTGAAGTGTAGACCTGGGCCCGAGAGGGTCCGCCTGCTGTCTGATCGGGATGCCGTGTTCTCTTGTGACAGTACCTTGGTGAGGGACCCGGGGGAAACAAGGATACTCGCTGCCCTTCATTCCAGTGCTAAACCTGTGCTCATGAGCCAGGAGGGTCTTGGGAGCTGTGGTTGACAAGGTCCCAGGACCAGAGGACAGACCTCATAGTTAGAAAGCTTTCAGCTTCTGGACCTCGATCGCCTGCCCCATTCCATCTCTCCCTGAAGCTTCTCAGTTCCCTTGGGGAGAAGTTCACACCTGTTCCCATGGTCTGCCAGGTGACCTACAGGTCCTGGCCAGCCTCACCTGCTTTTCCAGCTCAGCAGGTACCACTCTCACTCACAAAGGTCCCACCTTCTTTTTGGGCCTCTGGCATACCCAGCTCACTCTGCCACAGGGCCTTTGCATTGGCTCTGACCGCCATCAGATTTGCCCATGAGCACCTCCTTGTCATTCAGGTCTGCTTCAATATCACATCCTCAGCATGACCTTCCCTAAAACAATCAAATGATGTCCCTTTTTCCTCTGGTCCCTAGCCCACTTGCTCTGTTATATTGCATTGTTCTATTTTCTTCAAAACTATATCAGAAATGACCTTGCTTTTTAGAGAATGCTTCTGACATCTCTTCCCTGTTCGCTGCTGCCCCAGCTCTTCCTGTTGGTGCAGCACAAATGCAGACAGTGCCTGGCTTACAGCAGGTGCTCGGGGAGGACTCCCGAGGGCGGGAGAGACAGCCAGGCGTCTTCAGGGTGGAAGGCAGTGGACAGTAGTTGGTTTTCTCTTACCAGAGGCAGTGGAGCGGCGCCCGACCACTGGGCAGAACTGGGGCGGGAGGCGGTAGGGAAACCAGTGACCCTCGGGCTCCACTTTCTTGGGCACAAGAACAAAGTACCACAAACTGGGAGGCTCCAGACACCAGCGCTTTCTTCCCTCCGTTTCTGGAACCCAGAAGTCCCCAGTCAAGGGTGGCTGACGGGTTCCTTCTGGGGTCTCAGAGAGAGACCGCCACCTCTCCAGGTTCTGGTGGTCGCCGGTGACCCCCGCTGCGTCTCCACGTGTAGCCCCGTCACTCAGACTCTGCCTCAGGTCACAGGGCCACAGGCTCCCTGCTCTGTCCCCACATCTCTCCCCGCTGTGCCTGGGTCTCTTCCTGGACGCAGGTCCGCCTGCCCCCGCCCGCCCCTCCTGGCCTCATACCCGCAGAGGCCCTGGTTCCAAATAAGTTCCGCACAGTTTCTGGGCTGGAATTTCAGTGTATCTTTTTGTGGGGACACAATTCACCCCGTGATACCTTCTAACTTCAAGATCAAGTGACATTTTAAAAGGAAAATGTGGCAGAGGTTAGGGTTATTTTTAGGGGTAATTACTGGGTATTTTTACGGGGAGCATCAATGAGCCTCTCAGCTTTCGAGGTGAGGGACTGTAGGTACATGGGCACATGCTCCCCGAGAGGAGAGCGGGGTCCAGCGTTCCAGTGACCTGCCCCAGGGCACCAAGCCAGCAGATGGCGGGGTGACTGTCGAGCCCCCGGACGAGTCTCCTTGCTCTCAGATTTTAATGCCCGTGACCTCTACCCTACTGATGGGAGGCTGGACTCCACAGGGACAGGGTTCCTTCCGAAGCTTTTGGCTTGATGCTGTCCAGGTCGTGGAGGGGCAGCAGCTCCTGGCCTTCAGCAAGAGAGGAGGGACCCAGCCTTGGGCTGCCCGTCAGGAGGGGCCGCGCTGTCCCGTGCGGTGGACAGGTCTATTGCAGCGGAGCTGGTTCTGGGCTTCGGGGTGTCTCCAGTCCAGCTGGGAGTGAGCCCTGCAGGAGTGCAGGCGGCTGCTCTCGTGGGAGCAGGTGGTGGGCAGAGCTGGTGGTAGGCACACCACCACACAGGCATCTAGGCCCTCACGCCCCTTGCGTTCCGAGCTGGCACCCCACCTCGCTGGCACCCCACCTCTCCTGCTGAGATCTGTTTGTGCTGTTGGACTCGGGGGTCCTGCAGCTGCAGCCAGGTTCAGGTGACATGAAGAGAGGCCAGTGAAAGTGAGGTCCCCTCCCCTTCCTCCGGGCCACCTCGGCCTCTCCGTCCCAGTCCAGAGAGCCAAGGCTCCCTGAGCGCCCTTACCGATCACCTCTGCGCCCTCCCTCCCAAGCCCTTCCTTCCTCCTCCTTCAAAAGGAAAAAACTCTCTCTGCAGTTCCCCGCAGACGGGCTTGTCCCCAGGAGTCCACTGACCGGGTCCCTGCTCAGCTTTACAGGGGGAGAAGGTGTGGAGGAGACGACCCCAGGGGGCACAGGGGTCAGTGTGGGGACAGT